CTTTTTTTTTTTTTTTTTTTTTTGATGCAGAGTCTTACTCTATCGCCAGGCTGGAGTGCAGTGGCGCGATCTCGGCTCACTGCAAACTCTGCCTCCCAAGTTCAAGCAATTCTCCTGCCTCAGCCTCCCAAGCAGCTGGGACTACAGGTGTGCACCACCATGCCCAGTTAATTTTTGTATTTTTAGTAGAGACAGCACTTCATCTTGTTGGCCAGGATTGCCTCTATCTCTTGACCTTGGCATCCGCCCACCTCGGCCTCCCAAAGTGCTGGGATTACAGGTGTGAGCCACTGCACATGGCCTAGAGTGTTTTTTCCTAACTGTCTTAGTCTGTTTATTGTTACTTATAACAGGATTACCTGAGCCTGGGTAATTTATAAAAAATACTATTTGTTTTTTACACTTCTGCAGGCTGGGAAGCTCAAGGTCAAGTCTTGGCATTTGGTAATAGCCTTTTTGCTGATGGGGACTCTGCAGAGTCCCTAGGTGGCACAGGGTAGCACATGGCCAGGGGCCCAGTGTTTAGTTCTGGTCTCTTTCTCTTATCATAAGGACACTAGGCCTATTCCTGAGATACTCCATTTACTCATTAAGCCATTAATCTACAAATGGATTCGTACATTCCAGAGGTCCAAACCCTCAAGATCTGATCAACTCTTAAAGCTCCACATTTCATTATTGTCATATTGAGGATTAAGTTTCAACATGAGTTTTGGAAAGCACAAACATTCACACCTAGCAGTGGCTAACAGGTATTCTCTCTCTGCTGACCATGTAACAAACTTCCAAACTCTCAGAACGGGAATAGGAGTTAAGTTAAAAAGATATATGTTTATATATATTATATATATAAACATGGTGAATACATAATATGGCATATATAAACATTTTACATATATATAAACAATGATATATAGTATACTTATACATAACATATAATATATAAATATATTGCATATATAATAAATATTATGTGTATATTATATAATATATATTTTATAATATATAAATCATAAATATACAAATATAAATTTTATATTTATTATGTAAAAATATATTTAAAATATATATAATTATATATGTGTGTTATATATACATTTATATATTTTTTATATATATATATTTTACTTTTATTTTTTGAGACAGGATCTCACTCTATTGCAGGATCTCACTCTGTCGCTTAGGCTGGAGTACAGTGGCATGATCGTGGCTCACTGCAGCCCCAGCCTCCTGGGCTTGGGTGATCCTCTCACCTCAGCCTCCTGGGCAGCTGGAACTACAGGCATGCACCACCACACCTTGCCATTTTTTTTTTTGTAGAGACAGGGTCTCACCATGTTGCCCAGGCTGGTCTTGAACTCTTGGGCTCAAGTGATCCACCTGCCTTGGCCTCCCAAAGTGCTGGGATTACAGGCATGAGCCACTGAGTCAGGCCTAGCTTTACATTTTGTAGAGAAAAGGGCTCACTATGATGCCCATGCTGGTCCTAAACTCCTGTTCTTAAGTAAGTGTCCTTCCACTTTGGCCTCCCAAAGTGATGGGATTGCAGGCATGACTCACCATGTCTGGCCCATATATTTTGCATAAACAGTTCAGGCACACTCAGCCTCTGTTATTAGTTACATTGGTGGGACCCCCTTCTTAATCTGGTACCTAGACACCATGAAAGATCCAAGTTTGCAAATGAGCATTTATCAGAATATGCAGTTTCAGGATTGGTAGTGGTAACTCTTCTACACAACAGGTAGTTGTACTTTGTCATGACAAGAACTACACAGACCTCTGTAGAAACAGACATCAGGGGTGTTGCAGGCAATAAGACTCACCCACGTAACTCACCAAGATGGATGTTTCTATTGACTGTTACTTTACCAAACATATTCAACTAAGGCATCATAATGGCTTTGTGGGAAAAAGTGAGTGTAGACAGAATAAGAGTCGGTTTACTATGTTGTTGAATAAATGCTTGGAAACCACAGCATCTTACAAAGTTTATGAAGTGACTATAGATTCTCAGTGCTGTCCAACTCAACCTTCCTCCTCTGCACATGTGGGATGTTTCAGGACTCAGTGGCTTTTGAGGATGTGGCTGTGAACTTTACACAAGAGGAGTGGGCTTTGCTGGGTCCATCACAGAAGAGTCTCTACAGAAATGTAATGCAGGAAACCATTAGGAACCTGGACTGCATAGGTAAGGATGACATCATCTCTTCACTCAGTCAGTTAGAGACATTTGTTCCCTGGCCATCAACACTGTTCATTATTTGAAATCTGGAAAGGGGGTATGGTTGATCCTTCAACAACACAGGGTTTAGAGGTGCCAGCTCCTCAGTCATAAAATCCTCTAATAACTTTTTTTGTCTCCCACAACTAACAGCTTATTGTTGACTGGCCCACTTATCAGTAATATAAACATTAGATTAATCCACATATTGTATGTTATATGTATTACATACTATACTCATAATAAAGTGAGCTAGGGAAAGAAAATGTTGATAAAAATCATAAGGAAGAAAAACTGTATTTACTATTCGTTAAGTGGAAGTAGATCATTATAAAGGTTTTCATCGTTGTCTTCACATTGAGTAGGCTGAGTAAGAGGAAGGGTTGGTCTTGCTGTCCCAGGGTAGCAGAGACTGAAGAAAATTCATATATAAGTGGAGCTGTGTGCAGTTCAAACCTGTGTTGTTGAAGAGTCAAGTGTCCTTTGGTGAATGAATCATGCATGATTGTAGTACCTGTAAAATCTTAGAGTTTTTCTATGATTTAAAAAAAATTTTAGTGATTTTTCTGGGTCTACCTTTTAGAAATGAAATGGGAGGACCAGAACATTGAAGATCAGTGCCAAAATCCCAGGAGAAATCTAAGGTAATTTGCACTCACAAAAGAAAGCTATGTCCCTGGAGTGGTTCATAGAATGACAAGAAAATTTTATAAATAAGCAAAGAAGGCGGGACGTGGTGGCTCACTCCTGAAATCCCAGCACTTTGGGAGCCTGAGGTGGGCAGATCACAAGGTCAGGAGATCGAGACCATCCTGGCTAACGTGGTAGAACCCTGTCTCTACTGAAAATACAAAAAATTAGCCGGCCATGGTGGCGAGTGCCTGTAGTCCCAGCTACTTGGGAGGCTGAGGCAGGAAAATCACTTGAACCCGGGAGGCGGAGGTTGCAGTGAGCTGAGATCACACCACAGCACTCGAGTCTGGGTGACAGAGTGAGACAAAAGCAAAGAAAATGAACAAGCCCAGCTTAAGTTTATTCATCCTAATAATTCTTTTTCTAACCAAGTGCAGTGGCTCACACATGTATTCCCAGCACTTTGGGAGGCCAAGGTAGGAAGACTGCTTGAGCCTAGGAGTTTGAGATCAGCCTGGGTAGCATAGTGAGAGTCCTCATCTCTGTTAAAAAAAAAAAAAAATTTCCCCAGGAACATATAGTTAAATGTGACATAGTATTCAGTCTTTGCAAAATAGTTCCCTTGGAAACAGTATTAAGAATCCCCATGTGAATATCACTGTTTTGCTAATAGCTGTGATGGAGCCATCTTACACTGCACAGTCACTTCACATTCAAACAGGGCATGAAGGCTGTACTTTGCATGATAATGTTAAAAATGTAAATCTAGTACTTTAATACATATAAAATCACTTACAAGCAAACCTTTAGTAATATACTTCTTATTTGTTACAGAAGTCATACATGTGAAGTTATTGATGATAGTCAATGTGGAGAAACTTTTAGCCAGATTCCAGAGAGTCTTGTGAACAAAAACACTCCTGGAGTAAATCCATGTGACAGCAGTGAGTGTGGAGAAGTCGTCATGGGTCATTCATCTCTTAATTGCAGTGTCAGAATTGACACTGGCCACAAATCATGGGAGCATCAAGAATATGGAGAGAAGCCATATACACATAAACAATGTGGGAAAGCCAATAGTCATCAGCACTGCTTTCAGACACATGAAAGGCCTCCCACTGGAAAGAAACCCTTCGATTGTAAAGAATGTACAAAAACTTTCAGTTCTCTTGGAAACCTTCGAAGACACATGGCAGCACACCATGGAGATGGACCTTATAAATGTAAGTTATGTGGGAAAGCCTTTGTTTGGCCCAGTTTATTTCATTTGCATGAAAGAACTCACACTGGAGAGAAACCGTATGAATGTAAGCAGTGTTCTAAAGCCTTTCCTTTTTATAGTTCCTATCTAAGACATGAGAGAATACACACGGGAGAGAAAGCATATGAATGTAAGCAGTGTTCCAAAGCCTTCCCTGATTACAGTACCTATCTAAGACATGAAAGAACTCACACGGGAGAGAAACCCTATAAATGTACACAATGTGGGAAAGCCTTCAGCTGTTACTATTACACTCGACTACATGAAAGGACTCACACTGGAGAACAACCCTATGCATGTAAGCAATGTGGCAAAACATTTTATCATCACACAAGCTTTCGAAGACACATGATAAGGCACACTGGAGATGGACCACATAAATGTAAGATATGTGGGAAAGGTTTTGATTGTCCTAGTTCAGTTCGAAATCATGAAACTACTCACACTGGAGAGAAACCCTATGAATGTAAGCAGTGTGGGAAAGTGTTATCTCATAGCTCCAGCTTTCGAAGTCACATGATAACACACACAGGAGATGGACCCCAGAAATGCAAGATATGTGGAAAAGCCTTTGGTTGTCCCAGCTTATTTCAAAGACATGAAAGGACTCACACTGGAGAGAAACCCTATACATGTAAACAATGTGGGAAAGCCTTCAGTCTTTCCGGTTCCCTTCGAAGACATGAAGCAACTCACAGTGGAGTGAAACCCTATAAATGTAAATGTGGGAAAGCCTTTAGTGATCTCTCTTCCTTTCAAAATCATGAAACAACTCACACTGGAGAGAAGCCATATGAATGTAAGGAATGTGGGAAAGCGTTCAGTTGTTTCAAATACCTTTCTCAACATAAAAGGACCCACACAGTAGAAAAACCTTATGAGTGTAAAACATGTAGGAAAGCCTTTGGTCATTTCAGTAACTTAAAAGTCCATGAAAGAATTCACTCTGGAGAGAAGCCATATGAATGTAAGGAATGTGGGAAAGCATTCTCTTGGCTCACTTGCCTTCTAAGACATGAAAGAATCCACACTGGAGAGAAACCCTATGAATGTCAGCAATGTGGTAAATCCTTCACTCGTTCCCGTTTCCTTCGAGGACATGAAAAAACTCACACTGGAGAGAAGCTGTATGAATGTAAGGAATGTGGGAAGGCATTGAGCTCTCTGCGTTCCTTGTATAGACATAAAAGGACTCACTGGAAAGATTCTCTGTAAATGTATGGAATGTGGGAAGACTTATTCAGTACTTGTATTTAATTTCAGAAACTTGAAAGAACTCACTTTGGAGACAGACCTCATGAATGTAAAGATGTGATAAAGCCTTAAGTAGTTTCAATTTTTTAAGTACAGTTATCCGCCAATATACACAGGGGATTGGTTCCAGCACCCCCTAAATCCACAGTTGCCCAGTCCTTTCTTATATGGCATATTTGCATGTAACCTATCACATCCTCATGTATACGGTGTAAATCATCTCTAGATTACTGTTAATACCTCATGCATTGTAAAAGCTATGTAAATAGTTGTTTGATTGTATTGTTTAGAGATTCATGACAAGAAAAATAGTCTCTATGTGTTCAATGCAGACAGAGCCATTGCAGGCCCACCTACATAGTATATGCCACCCAGAACATTAAAATTTCTGTGTTTTAATATTCACAGATTGCTTTTGTTTTGTGACCTGAGTGAGCATGTCAACACTCATCAAAATCCTGCTTCTCTCTTGATAACCCATGTATAATTATGGTGATGATGACTGCTGTATGGTGCCTAACATTGTCATGTGTTGTAGCATTATAGATAAGCAGTGAGACATCAGGCTAACTTGAATCTTGACAGAATGTCAGGATGATCATCAATGCTGGAAGAACTAGGTTCTGACTGCAGTTGTTGACTTGTTGGAGGGGACTAAATAATACTAATGTTGTGATCTGTTCAGCCTCAGGGCTGCAGATCCTTAACCATGGAAGGTTCTGTGTTTATTTTTTTTTTAAAAGGGGTTTCACCATGTTGATCAGACTGGTCTTGAACTCCCGACCTCAGGTAATCCGCCCATCTTGGCCTTCAAAGTGCTTGGATTACAGGCTTGAGTCACTATGCCCAGCCAAAGGTTCTGTGTTTATATTTGCAGGTGCTTAGTGAGAAATATAGGAAGCTAGTTTTTCTTTCTTTTTTTTTTTTTTCTTTTTTTGAGTCATCAAAAAGATCTTGCAGTGTTTGTTGGCATGTTATTCCATGGTGACATGGAGGCTTTGTTCCATCAAAGGATCTTACTTAAGGATGATAAACTTTCTTAACACTTTTGCCTGTTGAAAAACTGCAAATTTTTCAAGTGTCCAAATCTGTGGCACTGCCTCTTTTAAGGCATCATCATCAATCTATAGAGCATCTCAGCAGATCTTCAAGTTCCTTGTTGTAAGAATTTATGCTCTTCTGTGTGTTACTCAACATCGTCTTCAATCCCGTCAGAGATAGGCTTTCTTACCAACTTCCCTTGCAATATTTAAGATATTCCTGGCTGAGCATGGTGGCTCACACCTGTAAACCCAGCACTTTGGGAGGCCGAGGTGTGTGGATCACCTGAGGTCAGAAGTTCAAGAACAGCCTGAGCAATATGATGAAACCCTGTCTCTACTAAGAATACAAAAATTAGCCAGGCGTGGTGGCATGCGCGTGTAATCCCAGCTACTTGGGAGGCTGAGACAGAAGAATCGCTTAAAACTGGGAGGTGGAATTTGCAGTTAGCCAAGATCATGCTATTGCACTGCAATGTGGGCAACAAGAGCAAAACACTATCTCAAAAAAAAAAAAAAAAAAAAAATAAAAGATATCCTAACTACTGCATCAATAGTGGGGAAGCCCCAAAATCATTGACTCCCTGACTCCATAATTGCTTCTAGCTGGCTTTGGGTTTCTTGAGCTTTGGGGCATTTATAGCCTCTGCAATAAGGACAGTTGCATGTACAATTTATGAAAAAGTGGTTTCATAAATCCATTGTGGTACAGTCAGAGTTAACATCAGGATGGAGTGAATCCTGAAGGTCAGTTGGGTATAAGTCACGTTAATCTACTTGATTATGCCTTGATTGCGTAGCTGTCACTGTGATGTCATGTTAAGCAGCAGGGACATCACTTCTACATTCTTATTGGCAAAGCAGAGAGATTGGAGATGGCCAGGAGCATTGTCAATTATGAGGAGGACCTTGAGTGGCAGCCCCTTCTCTTCAAAGTATTTCTTCACATCAGGAATGAAGCCTTGGTAGAACCATTCCAAGGACAAGATGGCCATCACCCAAGCTTCCTTGTATTTTTGCCAGAATGGAGGCAGGCAAGTTTTGCTTTTGTTCTAAAGGACCTAGGGATTGTTTGCTTAGTAGCCAAGGCAACTGGCCTATTCTTGTGACCTGCTACATTGCCACACTTCACTAGAGTAGGCAATCTTTCCAGGCCCTGAACCCCAGGGCCTCCTTGGCAGTCATGGATGCAGGTACCACTGGACATCTTTCTTTTTCTAGGGTTTGCCCAATTCATTGCAGTGGAGAACTTGCTCTGGAAGGTAGACTTTTTTTTTTTTTTTTGAGATGGAATCTCGCTCTGTCACCCAGGCTGGAATGCAGTGGTGTGATCTTGGCTCACTGCAACTCTGCCTCCTGGGTTCAAGCAGTTCTCATGCTTCAGCCTCCTGAGTAACTGGGAATACAGGCACGTGCCACCACACCGGGCTAATTTTTGTATTTTTAGTGGAGACGGGGTTTCACCATGCTGGTCAGGCTGGCCTTGAACTCCTGACCTCATGATCCATCCACCTTGGCCTCCCAAAGTGCTGGGATTATAGGCATGAGCCACTGTGCCTGGCCAGTAGACTTTCTTTTTATGAGTTTTGTGAGCTCTGCTGGGAATGCTAATATTGCCTTGGCATAAGCCAATGCTGATTCTCCTGTGGTCTTTAAATTTTTGAGGCTCTGGTGCTTTATGTAGCCAGCCCAGCCAGACAATACTGGCTTGTTCCTTTTACTTTTTTTTTTTTTTTTTTTTTGAGACGGAGTTTCGCTCTTGTTACCCAGGCTGGAGTGCAATGGCGCGATCTCGGCTCACCGCAACCTCCGCCTCCCGGGTTCAGGCAATTCTCCTGCCCCAGCCTCCTGAGTCGCTGGGATTACAGGCACGCGCCACCATGCCCAGCTAATTTTTCGTATTTTTAGTAGAGACGGGGTCTCACCATGTTGACCAGGATGGTCTCGATCTCTTGACCTCGTGATCCACCCGCCTCGGCCTCCCACAGTGCTGGGATTACAGGCTTGAGCCACCGCGCCCGGCCGGCTTGTTCCTTTTTCTTGCTGTCCTCAGCCTTCTCACAGTGGTATTCATAGAGGCTGTTTTTTCACACTTTATTTTATTATCAAAAGGGATGTTCAGTGATGTGTCCTCTAGCTACACACTTAATGCTTTCTCAGTCTTTAGACTCAGTTTATCATGAAGCAGAAGGGTCATTTTTCCCATTGTAGAGGCAGCTCTAACACTTCCAAGAATTTCAACTTCTTTCTGCTTTAGTGCGTGAATGCTTAGTTTATTCTTACCATATGGCCTACTTTTTTTTTTTTTTTTTTTGAGACAGAGTTTCACTCTTGTTACCCAGGCTGGAGTGCAATGGCGCGATCTCGGCTCACCGCAACCTCCGCCTCCTGGGTTCAGGCAATTGAGTAGCTGGGATTACAGGCACGCACCACCATGCCCAGCTAATGTTTTTGTATTTTTAGTAGAGACGGGGTTTCACCATGTTGACCAGGATGGTCTCGATCTCTTGACCTCGTGATCCACCCGCCTCGGCCTCCCAAAGTGCTGGGATTACAGGCGTGAGCCACCGCGCCCGGCTGGCCTACTTTCAAAAGTGACATGGAATTTTTCAAAACATCTCTCTAAGATTTTTATTTTCTCATTGAGAAATAGTACTTTTTGCTCCCTGCTAGCCTTTTAGGGATAGCTTTGACCACTTGATTAGTTATTTTATTTATTTATTTATTTTTGAGACAGTCTCACTCTGTCGCCTAGGCTGTAGTGCAGTGGCACGATCTTGGCACACTGCAACCTCTGTCTCCTGGGTTCAAGCAATTCTCCTGCCTCAGCCTCTTGAGTAGCTGAGATTTTAGGCATGTGCCACCACACCCAGCTAATTTTTGTATTTTTAGGAGAAACGGCGTTTCACCATGTTGGTCAGGCTGCTCTTGAACTCCTTACCTTGTGATCTGCCCGCCTTGGCCTCCCAAAGTGCTGGAATTATAGGCATGAGCCACCATGCTTGGCCAACTTGATTACTTTTTAAGAGCCATTTTCCCACATTTTTCCATTTTTTTACATATGGCACCTCAAGGAACTCTGAAGAGACAAAAGAAGAATTGAAAAACAAGAACAAGGCTGGGCATGGTGGCACACACCTATAATCCCAGCCCTTTGGGAGGCCAAGGCAGGCGGATCACCTGAGGTTGGGAGTTCAAGACCAGCCTGACCAACATGGAGAAACTATGTCTCTACTAAAAATACAAAAATTAGCTGAGTATGATGGCATATGCCTGTAATTCCAGCTACTCAGGAGGCTGAGGAGGAGAATCACTTAAACCCAGGAGGCAGAGGTTGCAGTGAGCTGAGATTGTGCCATTGCACTCCAGCCTGGGCAACAAGAGCAAAACTCCGTCTCAAAAACAAAAAAAGAAAAAGAAAAGAAAATAACAAAGTTGGTGGACTTACACTTCCTGATTTCAAAACTTACAGCAAACTTATACTAATAAAAACAATTTAGTACTAACATACTGACACAAAAATAGATCGTTGTGACCAAATAGCACAGAAATACACTTTTGCATATTGAGTCCAACAATTTTTTTTTTTTGAGACCGAGTTTCACTCTTGTTGCCCAGGCTGGAGTACAGTGGCGCAATCTTGACTCACTGCAACCTCTGCCTCCTGTGTTCAAGTGATTCTCCTGCCTCAGCCTCCCAAGTAGCTCGGATTACAGGCATATGCCACCATGCCTGGCTAATTGTATTTTTAGTAGAGATGGGGTTTCTCCATGTTGGTTAGAATGGTCTCGTTCTGATGACCTCGTGATCCGCCTGCCTTAGCCTCCCAAAGTGCTGGGATTACAGGCGTGAGCCACCATGACCGGCTAAGTCCAACAATTTTTGACAAGTGTACTATGATGATACAATGGAAGACAGGATAGTATTTCTGTAGAATGATGCTAGGAGAAAATGCACATCCGTATGCAACAGAATGAAAATGTACCCTTCCCTAACATAGACAAAAGTTAACTTAAAATGAATGATGGCTAGGCATGGTGGCTTATGCGTATAATCATAGTGCTTGGGGAGGTCAAGGTGGGAGGATTGCTTGAGGCCAGGAGTTCAAGACCAGCCTGGATAACTTAGTGAGACTCCATCTCTAAAACAAAACAAAATTAGCCAGAGTATGTACCTCTACTCCCAACTGCTTGGCAGGCTGAGGTGGGAGGATTGCTTTAGCCCAGGTGTTCAGTGCTACAATGAGGGATGATTGCACCACTGGACTCCAGCCTAGGCAACAGAGCAAGACTCTGACTCAAAAGAAAAAAAAGGATGAAAGACTTAAGTGTAAATCACAAATCTATAAACTCTTAGATGAAAGTATAAGGCCAGGTGCGGTGGCTCACACCTGTAGTCCCAGCATTTGGAGAGGCAGAGGCAGGTGGACGAGGTCAGGAGTTCAAGACCAGCCTGGCCAGCATGGTGAAACCCTGCCTCTACTAAAAACACAAAAAATTAGAGGGGCATGGTGGTGCATGCCTGTAATGCCAGCTACTCAGGAGGCTGAGGTAGGAGGATTGCTTGAACTCGGCAGGCAGAGGTTGCCGTGAGCCGAGGCTGAGCCACTGCACTCCAGCCTGGCGATGGAGCGAGACTTTGTCTCAAAAAAATAACAATAATAATATAAGGCAAAAGCTTTATGAACCTGGATTTTGCAATTATTTCCTGGATATGACACCAAAAGCATGACTCATAAGAGAAAAAATAAATGGAAATATGTGGAATTTCAAAACTTTTGGCATCAAAATAGGCAACCCATAGAATGAGAGAAAGTATTTCCAAGTCATGTATCTGACAAGGAATTAATATGCAGACTGCTTAGAGAACTCTAAAAAGTCAACAACAGGACCAGGCACGGTGGCTCATGCCTGTAATCCCAGCACTTTTTGAGGCCAAGGTGGGCAGATCACGAGGTGAGGAGTTTGAGACCAGACTGACCAACATGGTGAAACCCCATCTCTACTAAAAATAACAAAAATTA